TGGCCGGGAGGAAGCGGAGGGAGGCCCGGGACGGCGAGGCGCCGCCGCGGGGGTCCCACTGCGTGATCTGGCAGCTCCTCGACCCGGTCCTCCACTTGGGGGTCTAGTTGGACGCGCTGAGCGCCCTGCCCTCCCCGTGGAGGCTGCGCCCCCTGAGCCTCCTCGGGCTTCCCGGACCGAAACTCGGAGCGCTCGGCGCCGGGACCTGCGGCTCCTGCCGCAGCCTGCGCGGGCCCGGTGCACTCACCGCTCCAGGGGCGCCCCAGCCACCCCTCTCTTCTTTCTCTTCTCCGACCTCCCTGTCTCCCTTCCTCCCCTTCATCAGTCCGTTGCCTTCTCGCTCTTCCTTTTCCCTCCTTTTCTTGTTTCTTTCTCTCCTTTCTTTTTCCCCCTTTAAAACCTCCCCTTCTTACAAAAAGAATGCACGCTCATTGCCGAAAACACAGAAAAGTCCCAAGAAAATAAAATCAACCTAAGGTAACCTCCTGGTGTGTGCACTTTCTCACTTGCCTCTCGCATTCAAGAGCGGGATTATCCTTTTACAGGCTGGCATTAACTTTTGACTCCCTGGCACCCCTCTTTCCATGCACCCCTCCCCTCTTTCCATGTCTGTAAATAAGTATTGAATGACGCCAGGCCACGTCTTGGACCAGAGGGCTAGAGATGGCTCCATGGGCACCCCAGGTGAGATGGATGCTTCATTGTTATAAACATTCTTCAAACTGTGCCCACGGCTCTACACACTTTCACCCCGCTAGCACATTTCTTAAAGTGAAATTGCTAGACACATGCACATCTATAAGATGCCTGTTTTGCCACATTTTGCTGAACTGCCTTCTAGAAAATCTATTTGATTTTATTGTTTTGTATTTTCCCAGTGCGCTCTCTCTCTTCCTCATTTTTAAGTGGAAAATATGAAGATAAGACATAAATGCATTTTCAATATTAAATTTTAAATAGAGAAGAACATAGAGCAGAAAGTGCAAGGCTTGCTTAGATCAGGAGTTTTCAAACTGCACGTCAAGTCCCAGCGGTGGGTCAAAAACAACTTATCAGATCAAGTCAAGCATTTTGAAGAACTGAAATGGAATAAATACAATATAAATACCAAGGTACATGTCACCTAAGGTAACTATAGTTTCCTGAAACTTTTGTTTTAACTGTGCGTGTGTGTGTGTGTGTGCACGTGTGCACACACACAGCAATGTGGCTGATGTGAAAGGTATTTCTCCCGAGGGACCAAAAATGTTTGGAAATGTTTGAAAGCCACCACCAACTGTCCCAGTCTTTCCATCTCCAGACAGCCCCTGTGAACTGTTTTGTGTGTTTCCTTCCAGACTCTACTTTACCGATTGACAGCCCTATCTGAGCACATTCTCAGATCTAGTTTCCGTCATTCTGTCGTCAGGATCATGTTGCAGAGTGTCTGACGATCACCCACACCAGCCCCACACACTTTTCATGCCGTTCCCTATCCCGGCATCCTCTGCCCATCCATACATCTAGTCTCAGCAGGTCTGTGCCTACAGGATAACTTGTGCCAGGCACCATTTAGATGTCTGAGTGCCCCCCACCCCCAGAAGGAACTCATCTCTGCCCTCAAGGAAAGCTCAGAGCAATGGGCAGGAGGGAGTGAGACAGCCGTCATTCTTATCATTACCATCACCAGCATCCTCATCATTAGTATTTTCAAGGTCCATGTCAGCTTAGCACACGGTTTAGCCTTAAGCAGGGAGAAGGGCATGAAAGGAGTTCCTAGAGAAGGTCTTATTTGCCCCTTGAAGACACAAGTGCCTCCTCCAGGCAGACAGCGAAGGAAGGGCATCCTTGGCAGAGGGTACTGCCAGCGCAAAGCCACGGAGGCCTACAAGTGCAAGTTGTGTTCAGAAAACAATACCCGAAGGAAATAAACTGTTGCGTAAAGGGCTAGTTAGGTAACCAAGAGGTCCGTGGCCTCCTATTTATATCATCCAGACATCCATCTGCAGAGAAGTAACATTTCCAACTGTGGGACTACCCACACGTGCCATAGTAGGAAGTGACATCTGAGTGTTTGATCTAGGGGCCAGGCACTGGGCAGAGTGCTTTATCAGAATTATTTGATTTGGTCATCCTCACATCCCTCTTAGATGAGTACCATCATTAGCCCCATTTCAAGGATAAAGAAACTGAGACTTGGCGTGGTTGGAGTGAGCTGGGCCAAGGAGTTATGGGCTGAATTGTGTCCACCCCCAAAAGTCATATGTCGAAGCCCTAACCCCTAGCCCCTCAGAATGTGACCTTATTTGGAGACAGGATCTTTAAAGAGGTAA